GTCTTGTACCTTTAAATGATAAATGGTGTCACTCTCGACTTGCTGCTCGTAGCTAAACAGAGCGTTGCCTTCATCGGGTGTCCCCGACTCTACCAATTGAAAGGTAGCCGGTCCTGTCCGCTGACTCCAATGCCAAACAGTTTCCTCTGGAAATTGATCAGTGCGAATATTCAGGGTAATGACATGGGTGGAATTGACGGGAGTGGGAAAGGCTCCCGGCCATAGTTCGTCATTGGCGGTCGGATCATAATAGTACTGTCGACTGGAGCTGTCACTACTAGTAGTAGCATTGCTGCTGGTTCCAGTGGTGGCATTCAGAGCATTCACCACGTCTCTTGGCCATGGAAACAAGGCAATAATCACATAGAAGGAGAAGAAGAGAGGACGATTCATTGTCATGTCATTGCCTTGTTCGAATAATGAATGTCATTGGTTTGGTCAAGAAATGAAGATTTTCGAATTTGAAGTGAGAGAAATGAGGCGGGAGAGCGTCAGTTGAGACGCTCAGTTGCCCAGTAGCAGTGTTTTACCATGTACAGTAGCGATGGGGTTAATCGTTTCCGCCATTGGCTTTTCTCACAACTCAACCCACAACGACCATCGATTTCGATTTGTTCTTGGTTGTGTCCTGTTGCTTGTGGTTGCTGTTTGTGGTTGTGGTTGTTCCTTTGTCCTTGTAGACGGTAGTGCACAATCAAGCAAGCAAGCAAGAAAGTGTAACGAACATGAAGTTGGAGGAGAGTGCCAAAGGCACCGAGCTGCAATGCGTGACGGAAGACTCCAAACAGTCTGCTGCTGTTGTTTCGCAGCAAGATGATGTTTCTTCAGCCACGCCTGATTTGGATCATCACGAGGATTGGAGGATCATTCTGTACTATTGCTATATGGATTTGGATGTTGAGAATGCCGCTGTTGATCAGCATGTGGAGTTTCAACGTGACATTTGTCAACAACACGAGTTGCTGGGACGGATACGCGTCAGCCCAGAAGGCATCAATGGCGTTCTCTCGGGTCGTTGGGTCGCTTGTCAAGCGTACGAAGAGCAATTGCGAGCCGAATTGACGCGATTGATCTCTGTCGATACTGAATTAGATGTCAAGTACTGCAAGCTTCGCACGGATTTGCCCGTGTCGACACAAGTCTTTGATTCCCTAATGGTCAAGGCCACCAACTCGGTCGTGAGTTTGTTTGAACCAGGCATGCTCCATCATGACAACGACAATGACAACAAAAGTTCGACAAAAAAGAAATACTCCAAACAATCCAATCGACGAAAACGACGCCAACAACAACGCAAAGACCTCATGGATCAAGACAAGCTACAACTAGACAATCATCTACGACAATTGGCCAATCAAGTACCCAACTTTCCAGGAGCTCTACACTTGTCGCCACAAGAATGGGATAGAAAATTGCAGCAGGCGAGAGGAGGAGATGCCATTCTACTCGATTGTCGCAATGTATACGAAAGCAATGTGGGCTATTTTCAAGTTACTTCCACAACCTCTGCACACAACAAAAGCAGCAGCAGTCAAGATTCTATTACTAATACCCTGCTCACCAATACACGCAAGTACTCTGATCTGCCCAAGATATTGCTGCAGTCCAAAGACCAATGGGCACACAAGAAACAAATATTCATGTATTGTACCGGGGGAGTACGCTGCGAAATGGCAAGCAAATTCGTGCAGGCCGTCGTGGCAACAAACAATAGTAATGAACAACAACAGCAACAACGACCACCAAACGACGACGTGCAAGTCTATCAACTCCATGGTGGAATTCAAAAATACTTGGAGCATCACTACTACAACAACCAACCAGAACAACAAAACAGTTCTAACGATGACAACAACAACAAGAGCGAAGGTTTCTACCGTGGCCTCAACTTTGTCTTTGACCCTCGACGAACCGATCCCATGGTCATTCCACAAAAATATAATAATACTGGTGATGATGATGCCACTAGTACTATGTGTGTGGGAAAATGTTGTCGATGTGGAATTCCACACGATGACTACGACAATGGGCATGCTCCCGTCGAAAACAAGGAAGCGCGGTGCTGCAAATGCCGCATTCTGCTTTTGGTCTGTAATGCCTGTCGGGACCACGTTCAGTGCTGGGGGGAACCCGAAAAGGAAGGCGTTTCAAAACTCTTTTGTGGCATTGATGATCACTGCGGTGATTACCAAGCCACGGGACAAAATCCAGTGAGCATTGTGGGCGGGGCGTCATAGCATTGAGAAGGAATTATATAGCAATAATTCAATCCTATAATCCTTGTCTTGCACTCCTTCCTTATTAGCTAGCTAGCTAGCCAAACTTGCTTTCCAAAGGTGCCTGTTCTTTGAGTGGCCATATGGACTCTTTGCTTTTGTCGTTGGGCTTGTGATCCTTCCTCTTTTGATTCGATTCAACAAAGAGCTACAAGGCGATAAATAGCACACGGTACCGGTACTTTTACGGTACTAGCTAGTACATGGTGATTCAAATGTCAAATCGAAACATTCGAGCCACGAAAGTAAGTGACGTCAGCTGTATCCAAGAAAAATGAAGGCAAAGATCTCAACATCTCAACGTTCTCTGTCGGTGGCAGCTGGAGGGTTCGCTTGCATTATTGCAATGATTGCAGCCCAACCATTGACTACGACGCAACAATGATATTGCGATCGAGCGTCTGTATCGTGCTGAACACGTTGTTGTTGTTGCTTTTTCCTGGAGCAACTGGATTCCATCATGTGTCACCGTTTGCCGTTGTCAAGGCTTCTAAAAGATGGCGGACGCACGGGTCGAGAAATCCCCTAGAAGAGGCATGGCAAGAGCTTGACGATACCCTCTATAACAAAAGTCAAGAGTCCATTGATAGACTCGAGGAAATTAGTCGGTCCTTTCGACAACTGGTAGATGAAACTTCTTCTTTGGATGAAGATGATACAAATAGTCACAGAATAGTCAGGACATCCATTATTTCGCCATCCAATAGACAAATGAACAGAACGTCGGCGACTGCGCTATCGGCGTCCCCACGACAATCCGACACGGCGCTGTATGGCCAACAATCCACTCCCGATGAAGGGGCATCCTATGCCGAGTCTCTAAAGAACCAGAATCAAATGGATGGTGGTGACGATAAGTCCGGCGGTCCCATTTTCCCTGGGCAACAAAGTAGACTCCCATCCGACTCGAATCAGATTCCTCCACCAAACAACCAGATGGAAGGAAGTCAAGAGTCTGGTCCCTCCTTTCCAGGGAAGCCAAGCATGAAGCCACCATTCTCAGGGACACCACCTCCATCAAATCCATTTGGAGGCAGTCAAAACCCGAGGGATGGAGCCGAAAATGGGCAGTCAGGTGGTCCAGTCTTTCCAGGGCAAGCAAACAAGAAACCATTCACTGGGACAATGCCGCCACTGAATCCACTTGAAGGCAGTTCTAGCCAAGTGAAAGGAAGTGAAGAGTCCTCCTTTCCAGGGAAGCAAAATATAACGCCACCATTCCCAGGGACACCACCTCCTGCAAATCCATTTGGAGGCAGTCCAAACCCAACTGACGGCAGTGGGGAGTCTGGAAGTCCTGTCTTTCCTGGTCAACCAAGCAAGCAGTCATTCCCAGGAAAAACGCTCCTTTCAGGTCCCGGAAAGATTCCGCCACCAAATCCAATTGGGGGGAGTTCTGGCCGAAGGGAAGGAAGCGGGGGCTCCAGTGGTCCTGTCTTTCCTGGCCAACAGAATCAGCAGCCATCCCTGGGGAAAGTGCCGCCACCAAATCCACTTGGAGGGAGTTCTAGTAGCCAGATGAAAGACAGTGGGGAATCTGGAGATCCCGTCTTTCCTGGACAGCAAAACGATCCCCCAGAGATGCCAACTTCGACTTCAAGCATGGCACCACCAGCCAAGCAGCCTCCAACTACACCGCCCCCAAAGGATGCTGTTTCAACGAGTTTTGCAGAGGGGGGAAGAGACAAAATCGGAGCTCAAGAATCCCAAGAGGGAGGTCTCCTTGCTTTGATTACAGGAGGTTTCGTACTGCTAGCTGCGTCAGCTGCATTTGTGCTTTCTAATGGGGATATACCTGATACTGCACCCACAGCGTTTCAGGAAGTGACTCAGAATCCTGCACTGTCAACACTGACTCTGAAGTCCGATACAAAAAATGAAGTTGTCAAGGAAGCTGTCAGGCCGTCAATGTCACCGCCGCCTGCTGTTCCACCTCCACCTTCTTCACAGACTGTCACAGATAACCCTTCCGCTGGTCTAGTAGGGAGTGAAGCTTCAAAGAGAATATCTGCAGAACGGCAGGAAGCAATAAACCAACGAATTGCCATCGAGAAAGCCCGCATCGCCAAGGAGTTGGACGCAAGAAGGGCCGTCGAGGCTGAGAAAGAGGCAGCTCAGCAAAAGTCAGCAGAACAAAACGTTCGTGCCGAAGTATTAGAAGACGAAACGGAGGCTGCCGTTGAGTCCAGCAAGAAGCAACAACCAACTGCCGAACAAAAAGAACTTGGCGTGCAAGACGATTATGATACCGCCACCCAAGCTGAGCGTGCAGCTGCCGAAAAGGCATCTGAAGATGCTGCAGCCAATGCACAAGCAGAGAAAGATGCTGCAGAGAGGAAGGCCGCGGAAGAGGATGCAGCAGAGAAAGATGCCGCAGAGAGAAAAGCAGCTGAAGAGGCCGCGGCAAAGGCTCAAGCTGAGAAAGATGCAGCGGACAGGAAGACAGCTGAAGAGGCTGCTGCAAAGGCTCAAGCTGAGAAAGATGTTGAGGAGAGAAAGGCTAAGGAAGAGGCCGCGGCAAAGGCTCAAGCTGAAAAAGATGCTGCTGATAGAAAGGCAGCTGAAGAGGCCGCCGCAAAGGCTCAAGCAGAGAAAGAGGCTGCGGAGAGGAAGACCGCTGAAGAGGCTGCAGCAAAAGCTCAAGCAGAGAAAGATGCTGCAGAAGAGGCTGCGGCAAAGGCTCAAGCAGAGAAAGAGCTACGGAGAGAAAAGCAGCTGCAGAGACCGCAGCAAAGGCCAAGCAGAAAAGATGATGCGAGAGAAGGGCGCGCGCAGCAAAGGCTCAAGCTGAGAGAGCTGCTGTGGAGACAAAGGCCAAGGAAGAGGCCGCGGCAAGGCTCAAGCTGAAAAGGATGCTGCAGGAGGGGGCAGGAAGAGGCAGCAGCAAAGGCTCAAGCTGAAAAGGATGCTGCTGATAGAAAGGCAGCAGAAGAGGCCGCAGCAAAGGCTCAAGCTGAAAAGGATGCTGCTGATAGAAAGGCTGCAGAAGAGGCTGCAGCAAAGGCTCAAGCTGAAAAGAATGCTGCTGATAGAAAGGCTGCAGAAGAGGCTGCAGCAAAGGCTCAAGCTGAGAAAGATGTTGAGGAGAGGAAGGCTAAGGAAGAGGCTGCGACAAAGGCTCAAGCTGAAAAGGATGCTGCGGAGAGGAAGGCAGTGGAAGAGGCTGTGGCAAAGGCTCAAGCTGAAAATGATGCTGTGGAGAGAAAGGTGGCAGAAGAGGCTTCGGCAAAGGCTGAAGCTGAAAAGGATGCTGCAGAGAGAATGGCAGCTGAAGAGTCGTTTGTAGCAGCCCAAAAAGAACTTGAAATCGCGGAGGCAAAGGCTCAGCAACTTGCTGAAGAAGAACAATCTGCCAAGGAGATCGCGGCCCAAGCTGAAGCTGAACGATTGGTGAAAGCAGCAGAAGAAAAGGAGGCAAAAGAGTCACTGAGAGACGCCGTAGAAGCTAGAAAGGAGGCAGATCGCAACCTGAAAGATTTGCGGTCAAAAGTAGACAAGGCTCAACGAGAGGTCCGCATAGCAGAGAATTCGATCATTGCTGAACAAAACATGGAAGTAAAAGAAGAGTTGCAAGAGGAATACACGAAACTGCAAGCTGAAGCAGACTTGCAAACGCTACTCAAGAAGAAAGCAGAGTTGGAGAAGACCCTGGCAGCTAAGCGCGAAGCACTTGCTCGAGAAGAAGAGAAGATTGCAATCCAGGAGAGAAGGGAATCTCAAAAGGCTGCCGCAGAAGCCAATGCTGCCGCACGAGACGCAAGCAAGGCAGCAATGGCCGCTGCGGTTGACGAGAAGGTAGCTGAGATGGCTGTTGTGACAGCGAAGGAAGCGGTTTGCAATTGGATCCTCGGCTCTTGTCCCTGAGGACACTTGGCATTATTCTTGTAAACAGCTAAGATTCGATAGAAACTATGCAATAGATACAATTTGCTAAAATGATGATTGGTACAATGCGCATTCCATTGCATTGTTTTATCACTCTTCAAATCAATTGCAGGGCTTGGCTGAGGCACGCTGGGCAATTTGGGTGAATCTATCCAAGAAGCAAGCCACTGGTTTCCTTGCAGAAGTACCAGTACTGCACCTGGATCTGCCGCCGCAGGTTTCCGTGCTCCAGCCTATTGTTGCCTCTTGAGATTTCTGTAGTGTGGACAGTCTGTTGGCTCCGTTTTTGTTGGCATGGTTTGTCTGAAGAGACACTCGATCACTCGATGCATGGTGACGTCAGTGATCAAGTGGAATAAAATTAGCCAAATAATACTCATGAAATATTCATTTTCGTTGATTTGAATAATTTATTAGTTATTTGGTTTGAGACTGCAATAGCTAATTATACTTATCGAATACGCTGCTGGGAGCGATGACAACACGTACGCAACTTGAATTTGGCGTGCATGCCTGCCGATCTTTTGCTTGATGGGCATCGAGATGGCGGGACGCCCATCATAACGATCAAGTTCTTGTAGCAAGTCCTTCCGCATATATATATATAAGAAGTTATCCCAGCTAGAATCAACATCATGATGCGTCTTGGTATTGGAGCGTTCTGTGCACTGGTGCTGACGGTGGCACCCTCTGAGGCGTGGGTTAGCCAAAGGGGACCGTCGGCAGCGAAGACACCTGTTGTCGAGAAATCTCCCAGTCCTCTGGTTGAGATGGGACAACAACTTGCGACTGTGGGCTTCGGATGCTTCTTGGCGGCTGCCGCCACCTTTGGTGCTGCAAATCCTGCCTTTGCTGATGCCGGGAAATTCTCTTATGACCCCAACCTTGGGGGCCCTGAGGTTTGGTCCGGTTTGAAGGTCGAAGGAAATCAGTGCAGTGGTACCAAGCAGAGTCCCATTGCCATCCGACCAACTGCTTGCAGTGTTGGTGCCAACTACGAAATGAAGGTACGAGATGTTATCGTGAGCTGGTGGTCCAGTATTGTCTAGCTGCCAAAATGGAGATGGCTTGCTTCACATCATCTGTGTTCTCATCTTGACCACTTATATATGACATTGTGTACCGATCATTCCATCTATCCCTTTAGCATGGCACTTGTGCGACGTCTGATCTGGAATACGCCCTTGGTAGAAACGGCCCAAAGGCATCCTTCCCCAAGGTATGTGATGGAACAACCCTGAAAATCCCATTCGTCGACGGCACATTCCAGGCTGTTCAGTTCCACATGCACATTGGGTCAGAACACACCCTTGGAGGAAAGGCCTTTGAGTCTGAGTTCCACATTGTCCATAAGCAAATTGATGGCGACCGATTCGCCGTTGTTGGAATCATGCTAACTGGTGATGCTAAAACCGACAATCTCAAGTTCCAACGTCTTTTGGATGGATGGGACCAAGTAGCCCAAAAGAAGGCCATTGACTGTGGAGATGAAGTGCTGAAGAAAAAGGCCCGTACTGTGACCGAAGAATTCAATGTCTACGACCTTATCCCCCCCTCTGCCAACTTTTACGCGTACGACGGTAGTCTCACAACACCCCCTTGCTCCGAGGTTGTCTGGTGGAATGTGGCAGATGTTCCTCTTTCTATTTCCCGAGACCAGATGGACCAGCTCATCAAGTACACCACCAAATACGTGGACCCCAAGACTTGTGAATTGGATCCCTCTGCCTCGCCATATGATGGAACCACCAACCGACCCACCGCCCAAGACAGTGGCGCTAGGAAGGTCATTCGCATTTGCCCCGTGAATGCATTCAGCTAGACTGGCGAACTACATAAATGTACCGGTGTCCTTTCATCCGCTAGCAACATGCGTACATACGTACGCAAGGATTCTACCGTATGCTTTAAAAACACAATGTAATTGTCCCAATCAACCAAAGTTTGACGTCCGTGTGCAGCCAACCGGTGAAGCTGTGTACTATGCATACTTACTGCAGTAGCAGCCTCGTTTACTGGTTGGTTTTCTAGATCTGTTTGACTTGGGGAATAAGAAGGCACGGGTTATTCCTGCTATCATAGCTCTCTAGAGTAGAGGTATCCTCGTCCCGCCCTCGATCAGCCAGTTTTGTCAATTGATGTGACGAAGGATCGACGCCAACTGGCTCTTTATCCGTGTTCGGCTACAGCTATGCATGGCTGGCTTGCCTACAAACTATTCTGTGATATCATCAGTCGCACTCGTCAGACGCAACGACCTTAGGGCATTCTCTAATAGATTCGTTCGTCCTAAAACTCGTTCTAACTCTAGTTTAGAACAAAGATTTAAGACGAAAGCAATCTCTAACTCCAACTCGTCCTAAAAATTCGTCCTAAATTTTTTCCTCGTCCTATTTTGCTTAAATAGGACGAGTTTTCGAACTCGTTCTAAAACTCGTCCTAGCGATTCCCTTAAATCCTTGAGTGTCCTTTATGACATCAGCGATCGACGGGATTGAGTTAACACGATTCAACTCACACCTCGCACCCCTGTGGTGACTCGCACCCATACTCGCACCGATACTCGCACCAAGATAACAAACTTCAACAAGATAACAAACATCAACAGGTACCGGTACACCACAGAGGTGCTTAGTGGGAAGCTCCTAGCCACACTATCAGGACCACTTTAATAGGCAGTTAGAAGATAGGTGCATGTTGGACGTTCCAAACCAAAACGACTTTTTTTAGAGATTGCCACTCGTCTTAACACTCTAGTCTTAACCAAGTCGATTTTTAGAACGACTTTTTTAGAGATTGCCAGTTCGTCCTACAAACTCGTCCTAACTTACTCGTCCTAAAGTTAGAACGAGTTTTTAGGACGAGACTACTAGAGAATGCCCTTATGCAACGTGCCGTCCTACTCGTACTTTCGTGCAACCACACGGATCGAAGCCACCGGTATCGCGATCGGTACTGCCGGTAGCTAGATCCAGTACCAGGTACCTGGTAGGGGGCTGTTGGGGGTGGGATGGCGAATTGGTACACCTGTGACAGTTTCGAACTCGTCCCGCTGAGGTGTATTCAAAGCTAATTACACTAATGTATTTAGACGAAGGCGCGGTTCTTCGAGACGAAACGGATCACAAATCAGTTTCATCATATCGCGAAAGATGGCTCCATCATTAGACAAAGAACGATCTTGTCATTATTCGCAGTCCCTTTGCCTTCTGTCTTCTCTGCTTCCTTTAGTTATTAGGTCCATTATTATTGACCATGATTTCTCGATCCTTGAATCTCTTGCTCGCGGCTGCATTCTTTGGTGCAGCCTCTGCAGAATCGCCAAGGCGACTGCTCTCGTCCAATGATGCCGGTATGCTATTGGCCCGAGGTCTCGGGCAACGACGACTTCAATATCAGGATCTTCCTGATATCTGCCAGAGTTTTGAGCTTCTAATTGACGAGATTCCCAATGGAAGAGACAGCTGTGACTGCGACGGAACATCAGTCAACTGTTTGTTCAAGGCTGTCTGCCCGGAAGGCCAGGAAGATGATCCTCACTGTGCCGATACCGTCATGTACAGGGTAGCCTTTGAAGATGAAGAAGTCTCCGTTACGTCCTGTGCGGCCATTTCGGAAGGAGGCTTCGAAGAGACATGTGCCAGAGTATCTCTCGCCCCAGACCTTCAGTTGGACAAGTGCGAGGAAGGAACTTATGGAGGAAGACCCTGTGACTGCGAAGTCTGCGATAACAGGGCAAGTCTTTTGTTGGATTGCAGCGTCTATGACGCACGAGCCAAGACTAGCTGTGCGCCAATTGGATTGGGAGAGATCAAGCCACTGGCTCATGGGTTCAACACCACAGCTCCTCCTCCCGAAGAGATGGAGTCTTTGGACGGACCAGATGACATTGATGAAATTGAAGAGGGAGCAAGCAGTGCCTTGCAGAACACTGTCGCATTAGCAATTGTATCAGTTGTCGCCACTGTGGCTACTCTCTTCTAAGCAGAGTCGAGTCTTGTGTGAGCGATTGATTGTACAGGCCCCACCAGCGCAGTGTCGAGAAGGCAGGAGCGATACAGCATACAGCGCGGTTTCAAGTTTTGGAAAGCATGCAATCCATCGCAAGTTGGGAATCACACGATAACAGCTCATTCTTTCATACACTTTCATCTCATAAAATAAAAACACCATTCAAAATTGCGCTAGTAATGTAGATGATTCTATTGAGTAGACACCACCATGCTTCCGGCTTGTACATGTAGCATCGAACTATCGTTGGTACGGTAGTCCTGAAGTACCGGTATGGCAGTCTGATCCTTCCACAACACAACACAACATCATCCAGACGTTGCACCTCTCCCCATACACATTGTTGTACGTATACATATCATACTTCTTGTTGATAGCTTTATCTACATGATGGCGTCCGGTAGTCGATCCATGGGTACCGTGCCGGTACGGTACCAGTACCGTACTGCCCTTCAGTTCTACCGTACCGGTACCGGTACGGTAGCTCTGGAGGCACGCACCGACGTTCTTTCCTTGTCTTTCACAGGCAGGAGCAAAGTAATCTGCATAGCACGATGCGGCATTTACCAATACCGGTACAAAGCCAGTGCGTTCTTCATGCACCAAATTCAGTCACTTTTTTGCTACAAAAATCGTTGTCCGGTACCAGTACGCAGCATAACAACCATCTCACATGATTTGATGCACTGTCTTCTGTATGAGCAGGCAGACCAGGTGCCACTGTCTCTTGTCAACTCCATTTTCAAAAGGCCACTAGAGGACCAAATGGAAATGGCACCGTCCGATATCAAAGCCTGGCTTTCAAATTGGATGCCAGTGGTGGCCAAAGCAAGCAGAGAGCAGCAACAACTGGGCGCAGCCTTCCATGAGGCAGCAGCAACTTTGGATCAGGCTTTTGGGTCTGATCTCGATTTAGATGACAGCAGTGTTGACACTATCAGCAATAGTGCAGCTAGTAGCAGTGCTGATGACAGAAGCAGCACGGGCAGGTCCGGTTGGTGACCTCCCCCCTTAGTATCTTGCCTCGGTTGGGTTTTAAACTTTCCCAGCTGAGGGGGCCAACTCTCTCCGCCCCAATGTTTGTGGGGGTTATCGGTTTAGGGTAGCGGCACGGTGGACAGTCGTACTCAGAGTAGCCTTAAAATAGAATTCTATTCTTCGTCTATACCATAATCGGTGGCAAGTCAACCAACCAACCGTCTATAATACATGTATGATACTGTAGCTATGATAGCTGCCGGTAGACTACTACAAGTGTAGTAGCTACATGCATCAACTTTAAAACAACGGCATGGACAGCCCGCATGGATGCCGAAGCGCCAGATCTTTGAGTGGGCGCGCCACCTGGTCGCCGTGCGATCACGAACCGAGATTAGTACTAGTACCGTACTGTTTCTTTCACAGTCTTGAGAATGTGACAGTTGCTCACATTTTGTTTTCTTTCAACGACTTTCGACCAAGAGCCAACCGTTCTGTGACAGGTTGTTGCCACTCTTGTCTCTTCTCATCCAAATTAAAAACAGCATCACACTTCGAAACTTGCTAATAGAAACACCATGATGGTTTGCCGCATTTCCTTCCAAGCCTTGGTTCTCTCCCTTGCCACAAATATCTTTGTCTCAGCGATCTTTCGAACGACCGAGCAGGGCTCGAATGATTTTGTATTCACGAAGAACCAAGTTGACAAGACAAGTTTGGACCGTTCACTCCAGCAGCAGACGCCAGAAGCTTTCCTACAATCTCTTGACATTTGTGGTGGGTTTGACTTGATTGTAGATCAACTGGAGGGCGAAGAAAGCTGCGCTTGTCAGGACAATGTTGTAAACTGTGGTTTTACTGGTGGCTGTGATGTCGACCGTAGTGTCTGTACTGATGTCGTGGGCATGGCATTTCAATTCTTGGTAGATGGTACCGGTAACAATCAATCAGTAAATCAAATGAGATTGACGGCTTGCTTCACTTATACCGAAGAATTCGAAGCTACCTGCATTGATACCATCATTGGCCGTGGCCAGAAAATTCAAGCTTGCAATGGCGCCACGTACGGAGACCAAGAATGCCTGTGCGCAATTTGTGGTGACGAAAAGAGCGTTGCAGTGGATTGCAGTGAACATCATCCATTGGCTACTTCGAATGGGTGCTATCTTCTATCGGATGCTATTCCTCCTTTGGCCAAGTTTGATCAGCCGCCAAGAGGACAATAATTGCGAGAGCATCCGTACATAGCAACAGGAGCAACAAACAATCAACTAACAAAGCAAGGAATATCTACTGAGGCAATAACTTAATGGAGACGAAACTTCTTGCTCAGAGTAAGAGGGAGGGTTCTGGCTGCCGACCGGGAGACTGGAGGAAATTTTCGACGCTGCCATGGATACAGGCATACATGTAAAATAGAACATTGCATTCACACATAACCTTAACGATTTCACGGAAGTTGGCACCGGTAGTATGGTAGCTATCGCGAATTGGCAGTTGCTTTTCCTGTTACATGTAGTTGATAATGAGCTTTTGTTTTGGACGTTTCAAAGCGTTCCACTAACTGAGATCGAAGAACCTGAAATCGATAACCTCGTGGAAAGGAGACCAGCTAAGATCGCCAACAGACCTAATGCACGGCCGGACGTTAGGCCCATGGTCACCAAAAGTTGGCTCCCTGCTTCGCTTTCTACCAAACAAGCTCTTCAGCTGAGGACTTGAACCACAAAGTGCTGGATTTTTGGATAGCAAATGGAACAGTGCTCGCACATCATGAGATGCATTGGACAAGGCATCAATCCATGGCAATTCCGACTTGGCAGAATTCTGCCATAGATTCCTGCCCACACCATTCCACTTCAAGAGAAAGGTCTTCTTCTCCAAAAAGCTGTTCCTGCCAAAGGCAAATTGATCAGCACTGAATTGGATATCTTCGATTGTTGGGTTCTCTGTGACAAGAGAAAGAATAGCCCGCAACATTGCCTTGCTGGGCTCGACTATGTTAGCAAACACAGACCCATTGTCAAGATTCAGGCTCTTCAAGGCTGTGTTTTCTTTCAAGGCATTGATGGCATTGATGGTGTGGACACTTGAAGTCATTGACTCATCATCCAGCTGTATGGTCAAGCACTCCAGAGTGGAATGTCCTGACACAATTTTAGCAAGGGCTTGCCACTGCCCAGAGTCTGAGAGATCCACCACTTCCAACCGACACAGTGAACTTGATTTCAGAGCCGTAGCAACCTTGGGGAGACATGGTCCAGAAAGCTTGATAGAGACACATCTTGTGGCGTACAGAAGTGGTTCCAGCACCTGGGGCATTTGGATCTCTGGTGCCAAGTCACTCATCAAAGTAAAATGATCCAATGAGGCAATATTGTGCAACGCAATGGCAAATCCTTCAAAATCCTGTATAGCTCCTGTCAATTCACCCCTGAAGCAACAGAGACTTTTCAATTTCTTTGCTTCTGAAACAACGCGCGTCAAAAGTCGTATGGATCTCTTCCTGTCCTTTTTGCCATCAAGGCACCAGCAAAGATGCTCCAAATGAGGAAGACGACCTAGGATGTCGCAGAACCTGCCCAATGTATCGAGGCAAGCGGAGTCATGGATTGCTGACAGATAGAAATGGACGGTTAAAGGAAGCGATGTTGTTTGCAAAGCTACCATCAACTGATCCAACATGTGGTTGGTAAGGAAAGGGATGTCTTGGAAAGCATTACCAAATGTTATTGTGCAAGCTACCTCCTCTTTGTTGTCCTCGTCGTGGCACTGCTGCCGAAGACGGGCAATGGAATTCCAAATGTTGAAGGGCACGTCTGGATCTCCGGATCTTCCCGATACTACACTTACTTGACAGCTGATACTAAGTAACAATAATATTCTTAAACCATCAATGACAGAAAAGTGGGACACATGAGCAAGCTACCATAGCTAGTCTAGAAACTTGACCATAGTTTCGTTATTCTACTACTAGCTAGCAAGAGTACAGTAAGAGGTACTAGTATTCGAAAAGGATTGAATCGAATCGAATCGAATTGAATGAATACCACGCACTTTCTGAGCTTCAAGTTCAAGAAAAGAGCACTGCTTGGAACCACACAATGAATCGCATCGGTCGTTGCTTTGGTTGTAGCTACGGACAATAGAATTTGGAGATGATGATCCGACGATCGACAGGACTGCTATTAGTGTTGGCGACACTTTGCCACTCGCTGGTTGTGCCACAGTTTCAGACCAGGCATCAAGAAAGACAGCGTCATGTGGGCAAGCTGGGAATGGCCGATGAGGGTAGCATCACTGTTTCGACGGACAAGTACGATATAGTCAAGGTGGATCTAGATGATGGCCGTGATTATCCAATTTACATTGGTACAGGATATGACGATGGAGAAGGTAGGTCTTTTTTCCCTTTCAATCACTGTTTGATGTTCTGGGGTATTCTAAAGGTTATCTTCTCTGCCCCAAATTTCAATCCCATCTATCTGATACCTTGTCGACAATCTGCATCCATCCTCGAAAACTTGAAATTCAGCCGCACAATTGTTGCAATCGCATATCAAGGGATCCAAAGTACTTTTGATCACCAACGACCGAATTGCACCAATGTATTTGGAAAAGTACGAACAACTCTTGAAACAGGACTCTGACTTGCAGGTAGAAACCTTGGTATTGCCGGACGGAGAAGAACACAAAACCATGGAAGTGCTACAGAAAATCTTGGATAAATCCTTGGAATGCGCCCTGGATAGGAAAGCTACCTTTGTCGCACTGGGAGGTGGTGTTATTGGAGACATGGTCGGTTTTGCCGCGGCCATTTACCAACGAGGAATCAACTTTGTCCAAATTCCTACCACTGTCATGGCAATGGTCGATAGTTCTGTTGGTGGAAAAACTGGAGTCAACCATCCTTTGGGAAAAAACATGGTCGGAGCCTTTCATCAACCCCAGTGTGTCTACATTGATACCGAAACCTTGAGTACTCTGCCCGACCGAGAAATGCAAAGTGGATTCTCCGAAATTGTCAAATACGGTCTCATTCGGGATGCCGAGTTCTTTGAATGGCAAGAGGAACATATCGAAGAAATGATGGCACGGGATCCACAGGCACTCCGATACGC